CAGCATTGGGGCAGGAGGTTGTTGGTTGTGAGATCAGCATGGAGGGGAGGTAGAGCAGAGAGGGGTTGGGAGGAAAGAACTTGGCAGGGGTGAAGAAGAGGATGGGATCCTGGGAGTTGTGTGGGAAACTTGGGACTGGGAAAGGAGAAGGAGGTCTGGCTATTGTGGGACTAGGGGGCTTATGGACTCCCATGCCCTTGAAGCTGGGGCAGCGTTGGGGAGGTTCTCAGCCGTGCCATGCACTGGGCTTTCTTGCAGTATGTTTTAAACTGCACAGACTTTGTGAGCGCTTTCCTAGACAGGTCTGGCTATTGTGGGACTAGGGGGCTTATGGACTCCCATGCCCTTGAAGCTGGGGCAGCGTTGGGGAGGTTCTCAGCCGTGCCATGCACTGGGCTTTCTTGCAGTATGTTTTAAACTGCACAGACTTTGTGAGCGCTTTCCTAGACAGGGACTGTAGATACCATAATCCTTGCCAATAAAATTCCCTTTTAAGACGAAAATCCTAGAAACGTGGGCTCCCTTGATAAGAGTGCAAAGAACGTTGGCACTGGATTAGTGGGTGCCCCTGCCTGTGGAGATGTGATGAAATTACAGGTGAGTTATCAAATAACAAACATGATTATTTCTGTGTTCACTGAGAGATCTCTAGTATATTGAATATTATGAACTGACCACGCTGGTTATGTTGACAATCATATAAGCTGTTTGCCAGGAAAAAAAGAGAGGACATGCAAGTAACTTTACAAAATGAAAAGTTACAGAATATGAACATATTAGTCTTAAATGAGAACTGCCTTCACATGAAACTTCTGGTGGATAATTCTGATTTAATGGTATTACAGGTGGTAAAATAAAAAATATAAAAGAGCCTCTATTTCATTTATATATCTGATAACACTTTGCGAATCTTGATTGTTTCCCATACATTGTCATGTTATCCACTGTTAAAATGTTCTGGTGAAAATCAACAAGAATATCAGGAGGATTCAGAGGCAGGTGTCAGCTCTGAAGACTACATTTAACTCACCTTTTGAAACAAAAGTAGACCTTAAGTGGATGATGTCCATTAAAGTCTACTTGTAACTGCTGTCTTAAACCACTAGTAAAATGACTTTCCGTTTCTAGAACTAAAATGTAAATGTTTTACAGTATTCCTTGCCTTACTCTTAGGTCCTATTCTGCTACCATGGATACCAATGTGAAGGATACTTTGCCTTGATTTCTGTGAATAGGTTGAAATCAAATCATTATCAAGCTGAGTCCTCTTCAGTTATAGTACCACAAGAATGTTATGTAACCAAATATATAACACAAATATTATATACCAAATCAATGTCATTGGAATTCTTGCAGGTTGAAGTAGATAAAAATGGAAAAATTGTTGATGCAAGATTCAAAACATTTGGCTGTGGATCAGCAATTGCCTCAAGCTCATTGGCCACAGAATGGATTAAAGGAAAAACGGTAAAACTGACTTCACATCTGTGAAAGAGCATATTACACAAAAACTAGCAGCATAAATCGCTATTAATGCTACACCATTCATTATTAGAGGCTATATGTGGAACCATGAGAAGCATAGTATGAAGTTTCCGTTTTACCTAGTGTGAATTTTTTCTACAATGAAGCAGGTTAAAAATATTTCATCCCTGTCAATGAAATGTGATCTAGTTTACTAATCTTAATTTCCATTTCTAGAAAAGCAGACCTTACTTTGATAGCTTAATTTTCAAAGTGGCTTTGGCCTACATAGCCAGAAATAATTTATGCATATTTTCCTGACAGAGGATATTGTGAAGACCAAGTCTTTAACAGGGTTCAAAAAAGAACTAGTTAAATTCATGGAGGATATATCCCTCAATATTTATTAGCCAGGATAGGTAGGAAGGGTGTCCCTAGCCTTTGTTTGTCAGAAGCTGTTCATATGAAAATTTTTTGCTTACGTCTGGTATCTTGGGATGGAAGGAGAATGGGAAAGATGTTGATAGGGTGGTCAGAGCAATTTGTTTATACACAACCCTTTTAAAATGCTTTTGCACTATCAGTAAGCATACCAAAATAATTCTTTGTATGTTTCTCTCACAACCCCATCCTGAAGGTTAGTCCTCAAAACACGTCTTTCACAAATCTGTGGCTCAAGATGACCACCTCAGGTGATTGATGACTAGCAGCCATAATCCTGTATTAATAGGTTTATAAATTTCAGGTTGACGAAGCCTTGAAGATCAGAAATACTGATATTGCTAGAGAACTCTGTCTTCCTCCAGTTAAACTCCACTGTTCTAGTAAGTTTGAGTTAAATGCAGCTTGTTTAAACACCGAACTGTCTTAATTTTTAGAACCTATATTGTCTAACCTAACCCAGAAACAACATAGTATAACTTACTGTAGTTTGACTCTACAATTCTTACTGAGGATTCTAGGTATTTGCAAAAGACATCAGTCAACAGGATGTCATTAGTGTTACCCACCTTTTGAGTCTGCCATAAATTCTCATGAATTAAATGCATAGCCCTAGTGATCTCTTTTAAGGTGACCTTCAAAAGAAACAAACAGGGTTTGGCTATTTTGGAACATATGATGAAGGCCTGAAAGACTTTGTTATATTTTTGTTAGAAGCCAGATCTTTCATCTAAGAGTCAGTGGTGACTAGAGAATTAGTGGTGTGACATCAAAGAGTCAAAAAAGGAAAGCTGAGCATTTAATCAGAAGGAAAGTCTTGTCTGACCAGTTTACCTTTCTCCAGAACATTAGTCAAGATTCAGTATCCCTTCTCCCTCAATGTAAATGTGAATTCAGACATAAATGACAATGAGAGCTGAAGTTCCTGGTGCTGGTAAGGTGAAGTAGCAACCCCCACTTAAAGAAAAAGCCTCACTAATAAATGCCAAAAAATGACATAGGCCCCATTTTTAAATCTTTGTGGGCTCCCTTAAAAGGAATGTAACATATATTAAGGGTGTTGAATAAGATAGATTTCAATTAATTTCTGAGAGAAAATTAAGAGCATTCCCTCAACTAAGGAACAGGGCAGGCTTTGCTGTTGAAACACTCCTTGTGTGTATTAGTCGTAACCTGCAAAAAACACTAGCCTTCTCTTTTTCTATCAGTGTCTCTGCTGCATAGTACTATAGATACTCAATACAAACACTAATGCCTGTTTTTGCTGTTGTTGTTTAAGGTGGATCATTTTTACTCCCTATTTACAAACAGGGTTCTAAACACTTTTTTTTTTTTTTTTTTTTACTTTTCAGTGCTTGCTGAAGATGCAATCAAGGCTGCTCTGGCAGATTACAAGTTGAAACAAGATCCTAAGAAAGAGTTGGAGAAGAAAGCAGCCAATACTTAAAACTAATGTTTGAGACTGTAGAGCTTGCTCTCATTCCACTTAAATCTACAGTGCAATTACTTTAGATGTTAGACATGAGAACCAGTGCAGTACTAAAAAAAGCTGTATAATACGCACATAAGATACGCACAATGTTTCACTGTTTCATGTGTATTAAACCACTGATGTGGTGCTCAAATTACTGGAATGTTTGAGCTTATTTCAGCACAGACTACTGGTCTATTCTGACTTCATATTATGTGTACGGATATGGGTGGCAGTTAGTTCTGGAGTGACAGTTGAGTTTTCAGCAAAGAAAATCCTGGTGTTTCAAATGTTAGAAGGTCTGAAATCCATCGACTAGCTGTACAGTTTTGTATAGTAAAAGGTAATATTGGAAAGTGTTCTGCCTTAGTCTGAATGTCTTATCCATGAAATTGCAGATCAGTTTTATTGCATATGCTGTACATAATTTATTAAACAATCTATGGCAATTCCTATTGGGTATAATTGTGTTAAGAACATAAGAATGGCCATACTGGGTCAGACCAAAGATCCATCCAGCCTGGTATCCTGTCTGCCGACAGTGGCCAATGCCAGGTGCCCCAGAGTGAGTGAATCAAACAGGTAATGATCAAGCGATATTTCCCCTGCCATCCATTTCCACCCTCTGGCAAACAGAAGCTAGGGACACCATTCCTTACCTATCCTGGCTAATAGCCATTAATGGACTTAAATTCATGGAGGTTATCTAGTTCTCTTTTAAATCATGTTATAGTCCTAGCCTTCACAACCTCTTCAGGCAAGGAGTTCCACAGGTTGACTGTGCACTGTCTGAAGAACTTCCTTTTATTTGTTTTAAACCTGCTGCCCATTAGAGGCCACCAAATGAAACTAGTTCTTATACTATGGGAACAAGTAAACAACATTTCCTTATTTACTCTCTCCATACCACTCATGATTTTATATACCTCTATCACATCCCCCCTTAGTCTCCTATTTTCCAACCTGAAAAGTCCTAGTCTCTTTAATCTCTCCTCATATTGGACCCATTCGAAACCCCTAATCATTTTAATTGCCCTCCTCTGAACTTTTTCTAATGCCAGTATATCTTTTTTGAGATGAGACCACACCTCTATTCAGTATTCAAGGTGTGGGTGTACTGTGGATTTATATAAGGGCAATAAGATATTTTGTCTTATTCTCTGTCCCTTTTTTAATGATTCCTAACATTCTGTTTTGCTTTTTCAACTGCCACTGCATGCTGCATGGATGTCTTCAGAGAACTATCCACGATGACTCCAAGATCTCTTTCCCAATTAGTTGTAGCTAAATTAACCCCCATCATATTGTTTGTATAGTTGGGGTTATTTTTTCCAATGTACATTACTTTACTTTTATCCACATTCAATTTCATTTGTCATTTTGTTGCCCAATCAGTTAGTTTGAACTTTTGGAAGTTCTTCAGTCTGCTTTGGTCTTAACTACCTTGAGCAGTTTAGTATTGTCTGCAAATTTTGCCACCTCACTTTGTCCAGATCATTTATGAAAAAGTTGAATAGGATTGGTCCTAGGATTGACCCTTGGGGAACACCTGTAGCTACCCCCCTCTCCATTCTGAAAATTTACCCTTTATTCCTACCCTTTGTTTCCTGTCTTTTAACCAGTTCTTAGTCCATGAAAGGATCTTCCTTCTTATCCCATTACAACTTAACTTACGTAAGAGCCTTTGGTGAGGGACCTTGTCAAAGACTTTCTGGAAATCTAAGTTCACTGTATCTGCTGGATTCCCCTTGTCCACACGTTTGTTGACCCCTTCAAAGAACTCTAGGATATAAGTAAGACATGATTTCCCTTTACAGAAACCATGTTGATTTTTGCCCAACAAATTATGTTCTACATGTCTTGAAAATTTTATTCTTTACTATTGTCTCAACTAATTTGCCTGGTACTGATGTTAGACTTACCGGTCTGTAATTGCTGGGATCACCTCTAGAGCCCTTTTTAAATATTAGTGCTACATTAGCTATCTACCAGTCATTGGGTTCAGAAGCTGTTTTAAAGGATAAAGGTTACAAACCATAGTTAATAGTTCCGCAATTTCACTTTTGAGGTCTTTCAGAACTCTTGGGTGAATGCCATCTGGTCCCATTGACTTGATGGTTTTCTTTTTGCAGACTGTGTAGAAATACACAGTAACAGTTATTTAAATGCAATTTAATTGATTTAATTGATAATTCATTACCAGAATCTCCTGGTATTTTGTAGTTTCAGAGGTGTAACCATGTTAGTCTGTAACTGGAAAACCTAAAACTAATGGTTTTGCAGCACCTTAGGGTACATTTACACTTGCTCTCTAGTTCAAGTTAGGGATGCAAATGTAGCCGACCGAAATTGCTAATGAAGCGGGGATTTAAATATCCCATGCTTCATTAGCATAATCTCGCCCGTGCGTTATTCCACTCAACAGCTGATTCGAACCAGGAAGTGCACTCCGGGATGTGTTAGTTCGAATCAAACCCCTTGGTTCCAACTAACGTTACTCCTCATTTCATTCAAAAAATGAGAATTAACGTTAGTTCAAACCAAGGGGTTTGATTCCCTGTCAGGGTGGTCAAATATTGGAATAAATTGCCAAGGGAGGTGGTGGAATCTCCCTCTCTGTAGATATTTAAGAACAGGTTAGACAGACATCTGTCAGGGATGGTGTAGACGGAGCTTGGTCCTGCCTTGAGGGAGGGGGGCTGGACTCGATGACCTCTCGAGGTCCCTTCCAGTCCTATGATTCTATGATTCGAACTAACGCATCCTGGAGCGCACTTCCTGGTTCGAATCAGCTGTTGAGCGGAATAACGCGCGGGCAAGATTATGCTAATGAAGCGCGGGATATTTAAATCCCCTCTTCATTAGCAATTTCGGTCACCTACATTTGCATCCCTAGTTTGACTAAGTCGAGAATTGCCTGTTCCCTTGTGGGTTCCTGCCCCAGCTGCTCTAAGAAGCAGTCATTTAAGGTATTGAGAAATTTTGTCTCTGCATTTCACCCTGAGGTGAAATGTACCCAGTTAATATGGGGATAGTTAAAATCCCCTACTATTATTTTTTTATATTGATAGCCTCTCTAATCTCCCTTAATATTTCATAATCACTATTACTGTCCTGGTCAGGTGATTGATAATAAATCCCTGTGGTTATATTCTTATTAGATCATGGAATCACTATCCATAGAGATTGTATGGAACACGTTGATTCATTTAAGATTTTTACTTCATTTGATTCTATATTTTCTTTCACATATAGTGCCACTCCCCCACCTGCATGACCTCCTTCCGATATATTTTGTACCCTGGTATGATTGTGTCCCATTGATTGTCCTCACTCCACCAGGTTTCTGTGATGCCTATTATATCAATATCCTTTAACACAAGGCACTCTAGTTCACCCATCTTATTATTTAGATTTCTAGCATTTGTGTACAAGCACTTTAAAAATTTGTCACTATTTATTTGTCTGCCCTTTTCTAATGTGTCATTCTTTTTTGTGATTGTTTCTCGTCTGATCTGGCACATACTTTCTCCTTTTCCATCCTCTCCTCCTGACTAAAACCTAGAGAATCTCTATCAATAGACTTTCCTCTAAGAGAAGTCTCTGTCCGATCCATGTGCTCCTCTGCACCAATCAGCTTTCTCCCATCTCTCAGTTTAAAAACTGCTCTGCAACTTTTTAAATATTAAGTGCCAACAGTCTGGATCCACTTTGGTTTAGGTGGAGTCCATCCTTCCTATATAGGCTCCCCCTATCCCAAAAGTTTCTGCAGTTCCTTATAAATCTAAACTCCTCCTCCCTACACCATCATATCATCCACATATTGAGACTCTGAAGCACTACCTGTGCATGGAACTGAAAGCATTTCTGAGAGTGCCACCATAGAGGTCCTGGATTTCAGTCTCTTTCCTAGCAGCCTAAATTTGGCCTCCAGGATGTCTCTTTTACCCTTCCGTATGTCATTGGTACCTACATGTACCATCACCACTGGCTCTTCCTCAGCACTACACATAAGTTTATCTAGAATATGCCTTGAGAGATCTGCAACCTTCATACCAGACAGGCAAGTCACCATACGGTTCTCCCGGTCATCACAAACCCAGATATCTATGTTTCTAATGATCGAATCTCCAGTTACTAACACTTGCCTCTTCCTAATGACTGGAGTTCCCTCCCCCAGAGAGGTAACCTGAGTGTGAGAGGATACCCCCAACATCATCTGGAAGAAGGGTCCCAACAATAGAAGGTTTCCTTCTGCTCCCGTTGACTGCTCTCCTTCCCTGAGCCTTTCATCCTCCTTAACAGCGCAGAGGCTGTCTGACTAGAGGTGGGACAATTCTATAATGTCCCAGAAAGCCTCAACATACCTCTCTGCCTCCCTTAGCTCCTCCAGTTCAGCCACTCTGGCCTCCAAAGCCCGTATGCAGTCTCCAAAGCCCGTATGAGGGTCAGGGGCTCCTTGCAGTGAGTGCACACATATGCCACCCGCCCATAGGGCAGGTAATCATACATGCTACACTGAGTGCAATAAACAGAATAGCCCCCACTCTGCTGCTGGGCTTCTGCCCACATTCTCTCCTACAGATACCTAGGTAATTGATAGGGTTTTTATTTAAATCAGGAAGTTTTGATTATAGTTGAGTTTAAAGGTTTTAAAGATGGGGAGTGTACCTCACCCCCTTCCTAACTCCCTCTTAAAACTCCCTGTTTGAGGCCCCTGGAGGCAAAGCGTCCTGGTTGCTGACTCACTGCTTTATAAAGCCCTGGCCTTCTTGATAGCCTCACCCCCTGATTAAGGCTCAACCAATGAACAGAAGTTTCTAGATTTCAAACCTTGTTTAGAAGCTCACAGCTTCCATCTGCTGGCCACTGCACACACTCCTTCAAACAAACAAACAAAGACAGATAGACACTAGCTCAGCACACAGCAAGAAACCCACAAAAACACACACTATAGACAGCCATTTCCCTCAAGGATCCCATATTTGCTCTTCCTTCACCTGGAGAACTCCCCCTCGAAACTCCATTTCACTTTCTGGGTGGTAGTAATATCTGTCTATACTCCAGTTTGATTCCTAGCATTTCAAAACTGAGGAAATATCTGTTTACAGCAGGGGTGATCCACTAGGGTTCCATAGGTGGCTTGCACACCCCTGTATGCTCCCCTCTTCCCCACACCTCTCACACCTTTGGGCACTGAAGCCTTGCATTTCCTCCTATCCCCCTTCCTACCTAGCATATTCAGAGCACCATGAATCCGCTGATTAAGGCTCCAGCCCGGCTTCTTCCCCCCTACCTCAATCCCCAGCTGAATTGGCTGTTTGTGGCTGTTTCATCTCTGGTAGAGAGGGGAAGAGTGGGTCTAACCCATGAAAGCTCATCACCTAATAAACCATCTTGTTAGTCTTTAAAGTGCTGCATAGTCCTGTCTTTTGTTTCAGCTAGCACA